AGGAATTGGAAGGATATTGAATTCAAATCTGATACTCAAAAGACAGTTCTAAGCTAAGGGTTTGTTTATTTGTTATGTTTTGTTTTTTGTATAGTGGGTGCAGGTTGGCCATCACCGTGGAGCTGAAAAAAAGAAAGAAAACAAGAAGAAGCGAATATACTTGATATTTCTTCCTCCCCTGCCAACTTTGACCGCTCTTCTAGGACTCTCTTGAAAGGCCACACCAGTTTAAGACACACAGACTGGGTTCACACATTTTGGTTAATCATTATTGAACAAGGCATAATTGGATCGGTTTCCATACCAAGCTAAGCCATAAATCATGGTTTACAAATTTCAGTGACTGGGTTTACAAACATACTAAGGCAAAACAGAAACAACCACATTGTGGCTTATCATGAAGCATGAATCAGTCCACAGTGTGGCTGGGATGAAAGCTACTCATGTAGTTGGTGAATAGAAGGGAAGAGAAATTATTTTAAAGGCAGTATTAATATAGTAATAACTTACTTCTTAATACTGGAAGAAAAGCCTTGCCTTTCCCAGTTGATCCCATCTGGACATGTATTGTTTAAAAAGTGTAGTTTTTAGTAGTTCTAATAAAACAAAATATATGTGCTTGGGAAAACCCAAAATACAAAAACTATTTTGTAAAAAAATGGATTGCTCTATTACTTTTTGAATTTATAGCATTTCAGGATAATAAACAGCCTTAATGGATTCATTATCTACAGTATCTATGTATGTGTGGGCCAATATGATTATTAGAAGTTTCTTACAAAGCAAGATTTAATACTTAATGTTCAGTAGCTTCTCTCCATATCATGCATGTTAGAAAGGGTGGTTATGCTGTCTTTCCATATAGCACAAAGAAGAGTTAACTCTTAATTAGATTTTTAAGTTCACATTTTCTCCAAAAAGTTCAAGGCATTTCCCTCTCCATCCTGTCCCTCCATTTCTCAAAAAGATATTTGACAGCATCCTTCCCCTGCCTGGCACCTCCACATGGTTTGGGGCTAGGATTCTAAAAATCCCCATGGGGATTCTGGGAACTACAGTCCCAAACAAAGTTGGAGCCAGCTCAGTTTGGTGTGGCGGGAGCGGGATTGACTCAAGATCACCCATCACTTCACACCCAAGTTGGAACCTGAAGGTGAATCTCCCCAGTCTTGGTCCAGACTCCTAACCTCTGTATCTGCCTGATACTCTACCCACCTCATCTTGTAAATGTGCTGGGAGGTATTTAAGGGGTGGGGGAAAGCAGAGCAATCATGCCAGTGTTTGATGAAGGCATTGCCCATCTCATCTTCTTTGTCTCAACCTTAGATATTTTCAGGACCACCAACTGAGAAACATCTGCAATTGCAGTGAGCGCAAAATAAATCAATCTTCATGCCACCTACCACCCACTTCATCCCAAACCCCAGAATTACTATGGCTTACAAGAGACCAATCAGGAAAAATGGATCAATATGGATGTGAGACATTATGCAGAAATAGCAGGTGTACTTCATCTGGGTATTTGTGAGATTGTACCAAAGGATCCTGGAAGAGTAGACCTTATTTCTGTAACAATTCACTAATCTTAGCCCTTAGGCACTAGCCAATTTGCAAAACTGAGCTATTGATTTATTGTATTTATTGAAAAGATTTGCCTATCTTGAACAACTCTGGTGGCTCACAAATAACTATAAATCATAACCATAAGACCATAAAAGCATAAAACAAAAGCCCAGTGCCTTAATCATCCCCTTGGGATGCCCAGGGGCCAGCTCCAAATATTCGCATTCCATTCCATTTATTCTATTCTATCCCAGCACCTGGGTAAAAAGCCGGGTCTTGATGGTCTTCTGAAAGGCTAAAAGGGTGAGAGCCTGCCAAATCACTGTGGGGAGGGTGCTTCACAAGGTAGGAGCAGCCATGGAAAATGCCCACTTCTGAGGTCCCATTAGGTGGCAGGATTTCAGGGAAGGGATCTGGAGCATTCCTGCCCTACCTGATCTGGTGGGACAGGCAGATACTCTTAGGGAGAGGTAGTCCCACAAACCAGGTCCCATGCCATGTAGGGCTTTAAAGGTGATAACCAGCATGTTGAATTGCACTCAGGAAACTGGGAGCCAGTACAGCTTGCACAACAGAGGTGTAATGTAGGCGAACCTAGGAACACCCAATATTGTGTGCATCACTGCATTCTGGACTAGTTGTAGCTTCTGAGGGGTCTTCAAGGGCAGCCCCGTGTAAAGCGCATTGCAGTAATCCAAACAGGAAGTGACTAAGGTGTGAGTGACTGTGAGCAAGGCCTACCAGTCCAGGAAAGGGCACAATTGGCGCACAAGACGGATCTGTGCAAAGGCCCCCCTAGTTACGGCTGCTACCTGCTAATTGAGCAGGCGCCATGAGTCCAGGAAGATGTCCAAATTGCACACCAGCTCAGTTTGAGGAAGTGTGACCCCGTCCAGAGTCAAAGATGACAAATCTCCAGCGCCTGGGGGATGAAAACCAAAAACCACCCCACCTTGCCAGGGTTTAGCCAAAGTCAGTTCCTCCCCATCCAGACCCTCAGAGCCTCCAGGCGCTTGTCCAGCATCATTTGACTTTTTCCTTTTGGTAGTAAAGATTCAAGTAATCAAATCTCCTAGCTGTAGCCGTTAGGCAAATCTTTCTACTCAAGGACTTCTACGTGTTCAGTATTTTCTTTCTACTCTATGCTCTAAACCAATGTTTCTCAATCTTGGCAACTTTAAGATGTGTCGACTTCAACTCCCAGAATTCCCCAGCCAGCATGCATGCAGAGCAATGAATTAACAGTAAGACTGCAATATGAAATAAGTAACTTGTTGAAAAACCAAATAGTCCCAATGAATCAAGCAGTCTCTTTATTATTATTTTTTAAATATAATTATTTTAAATACATATACTTGCATCACAGCAGAAGACAGACTCTAGTTTCAGGTAGAACACACATGTGCACACAAATGAATTGATGAAGTTAATAAAATAAAAATAAAAAAAAACACCCAGCAAAATAGGATGATTCCTCAAATAGGGAAAACTTTAGAAAAGTTTAGAGCAGTGTTGTCCAAACTGGGCAAGAATTCTGGGAGTTGAAGTCCACTTATCTTAAAGTGGCCAAGTTTGGACAACACTGGTTTAGAGGATCAATCTTTCCTTATGACTGTTGCTCAGTTCTTTTTCTGTTATGTTTTTGTGTTGTTGCTGTAGGCAATGTGCAGATTTATTTATTTTTGCATTGTTTCTACTACTTCAGTCCAAATAGATTGTAGTTGGGTTATAAATAGTAATAACACATAGAACAGAAATAATAGGAGCTTGTAGGAGCTTGATAGCTGTCCAGATCAGGTGGGAAAAATCTATTTGGGAAAAGCAGTCTCTAGATCAGTGTTTCTCAACCTCGACAACTTTAAGCTGTGTGGACTTCAACTCTCAGAATTTCCCTAGCCAGACTTGCTGGCTAGGGGAATTCTGGGAATTGAAGTCCACACAGCTTAAAGTTGCTGAGGTTGAGAAACATTGATCTAGATACCCAGACTCTGAGCCATTTAAAGTTTTAAAGACAGAATGCCATGGTGGACTCCACTTAGCTCCTCTTCTGTGCTTACATTGAAGCCTAGTTTAGGCGCTTACTTTGAGCTAGCATTAAATCTAAATGGTATACAGGTAGTCCTCACTTAACAAATATTTGTTTAGCGACCATTCAAAGTTACAACTGCACCAAAAAAGCTACTTATGAGTGGTCCTCACACTTACAACTGTCGCAGCACCCCTGTAGCCACGTGATCATGATCTGGGCGCTTGGCAACCAGCTTGCACTTATGACAGTTGCAACATTCTGGGGTCATGTGATCGCCATTTGGGACCTTCCTAGCTGGCTTCTGGCAAGCAAAATCAATGGGGAGCCACATGATTCACTTAATGACTGCTGCAAAAAATGTAAATTCGGGTGCAGTCATGTGATGCCTCACTTAACCACCCCACTTAATGACAAACTTTCCGGTCCCTATTGTGGTCATTAAGCAAGGACTACCTGTGCTGTACTTGGAGGCTGCCCCTCTCAGTGTCCAAATAAACAGTGGGAATACCATTCTAACAATGATATAGTTAAGGATGGCTTAAGTTGTCTCACTCAGAGGCTGAGAACAAGATGAAGGCAACGTCACGGGGATGCAACAGATAAAAGATTTGTCAGGATCTCTTTGTAGCATGGTTAGCTTCAAGTGGGGACACAGCCTAAGTGTCAGAACACCTAACTGATCAACAACTTGAGATCTACCAGTAGATTCTGACCTACCTACCACTGTCTACAATAACTGACAATGGCTTCCCAGTGTTTGCAGCAGGATTTGTGCTCTGGTCAGCCTCTGGATGTTCAGGAACTGAATCAGGGGTCTTTGGCATATGAAGCTGGTGATCTGTTCCTTCAGGATAGGGGCTATGAGAGTTACACAGAGAATGAGCACGGGTGTATGGCTGCACGTAGAGCAGACAATTGCTTGAGTCCAGTGCATAAATGGTAAAGAGATACAAAAATTCAGAAAGATTAATGGATATACAGGACAGGTTGGACAAGTTGCTGAGCAGTTCCAGGATGCTGAGGCAATCGTAGCCTTTCCACCATCTCCCTCCCCTTTCTTCTCTCCCCCTCCCCCTGCCCATCTCTTTCTCAGTCTTGAATTCCCTAAGTTACATCACTCTTTCCTGTCGGTAGCTTGAAAGCAGCTGTTGAATGATAATATTTAGACTTTGGCATCCTCGTGACCCCACGTTAGGGGCAGGAGGAGCAATAGGCACCCCGTGACTCACACTCGGGGAGCCCAGTGAGTGTGTGGGGAAATGTAGATGGTTGGAGGAAAGTTTGTGGGCAGGGCCAACGTCAAGGGGAAGGTCGTTTACCTCTGCTATAGAGAGCACATGCGTGTGTGTATATATATTGGTGTGCCTGCCGTTTTGGAGCAAACTTGGCATGAGGCAGAGGAAAAGGGAAGACGTTTTCCTTTGCCCTTATTTTGACTATTCCCATTGATTGGTGACTGGAATTTTACTAACCTCCCCAAATCCCATCCCAAGAATAACTGCTTTCAGAAGTCCTGGACTCATTTCTTTGTGAATTCTGGGCATCATTCCTGGGTGAGACCAATAAGCAAAGAACTTGAACCTTGAGTTCACCCTTGGATTTCTTCTGGCAGTGATACTATCTTTGCCATCCCAGCTTACATCTTACCTGGATCAGCCATCCTTGAGCCATGCTGTCCATTTCAGTCCTTCTCCAATGCAACTGTTATTTCCTGCTTCCCATCAACCTGATTTTGTGGGCTGCGTTGGCACCCAAGATTGTTGCCTCCCCACTGCCAAATTCCAACCCTCTGTATCGGTTTCATGGCCAAGTTCGGCTTTGCCATCTCTACACGGCAAATGAACAGACACACCTCCACCTGGAGATCTTTTCAGATGGCACAGTGCGTGGCTCCAGATACCAGAACCCCTTCAGTGAGTATTTGGGAAACCCTTGAGTTTAATCCAAGTGAGTTTTTCTGGAGGTATAAGTGGAATTGGGGCACAATCACCTGGGTTCTTTGGGGAAGAATCAGGTACTAGAGAATGAAATATGATTTTTCAGAAGAGGACATTTCAGAACATGTAGCTTCTTACATATGTGTTATCTGGAAAAATCTCTTCTATAAAACAAGCATTGGCCTTGTCCTCCTTTGCATATGGTCACATTAAACTCAGAGTAAAGCAAGCAGGGGTGAGAAATGGGAATGGTAGGAGGAGCTCTGGTTGCCTCCCACAGATTATGTACCATTCTACAGATGTTACAAATCAAGACTACTAATGGATCTGAAGAGGTTGAAGGCTATTAGATTTAGAACCATACTAAATAGTTCTCCTCCTTTACTAGCTATTTTCTATTGTTTTCCCCCAACCCCCAGGTTTGATGGAAATCAAAGCAGTGAAGTTGGGAATCATTTGCATATTGGCTAAGAAGACCTCTAGATTTCTTTGTATGCAATCTGATGGACGTCTGTATGGCTCAGTAAGTATAATTACATGTGTTATCTCTGTGTTTAGAGCATAGGATCTATGGGGTGAGAAAAAGTTATAAATGGAAAGATCCACCTATCTGATCATGAGTTCACCCATCTCCAAAATATGCATTCTTTGGGGTCATTTCACACATTATATGGCAACAATCTTGAGTCTGCCATTAAGAGAACACTCAAACACCAGTTATGTCTTCTCTGATGCAGGTAAATGTATTTCCAGAGATAGCTGAATTGTTCTCATTCACACATTAAATTTACGCCCCAAAAAATCTTACATACCAAAAATAATATGTGATAAGATTTTATTAAAATCAGAAGCAAACCATTCTTCCAGACTGGATCATTTTAATCTTCTTGTTCCTGATGGGACTTAATGAATTAGTGGATATATTCAGAAATCTGAATGCCTACATTTTTTAGGGACAAACTGAAATGTGAGATTCCCCAAGAAGCTATCTGTCTTCTTGTTCTTTTTAAAATCATAGCAGCATTTATTTTTGCAGCTCCCTATAAATCTCTAGAATTAAGAATAGTGTAGGGCAAAAGCATGTATTACAAGGGCAGCGTGTTTTTGAGTAAAACATTTAATTACTATGCCAGTAAAACAGAAATCCTTTGCGAAGGGAGAAAAACAATTTGAATAAACGTTGCTTATTTTGAATCATTGTGTTTATGAAAATGATGGGGATGAATAACGCAGTTTGCAAGTACAATCCATCTTTTTTTACTAAACACGTTAACACTGCAGACTTCAAGCCAAATTCTGATCTTGAGTTGTAGAGTGCAGATTTGTTGACCATGCAATGCTACATTTACTATTGATATAATTACTCAGCAATGAAAATACTATATATTTAGCTGGAATCAACTTGTACTTTGGTGTACTGTAGCTTGAATGCTTAGGTTAGGTAGGGCAATGCACCTAAGGCTGAATTAACTACGGAGTATATGACCTTGAATTTCTCCGTATTAATCCAGTAGGTGAAAATTGTACACAGCCAGGTTTGACTAGATGCTAAGAGAAAGTTCTTGGTGATAAGAACTGTTTGATGGTGAAACTGATTACCCAAGGAGATTACAGTCTTTCCTTTGCTTGAAATGCAACAGTAGGGATTAGATGGGTAACTGAAGCTACAGGGTAGAATGTAATGAAGGAGATGGCAGGAGATCGGATGAAATAACTTCCATCAACCTTTCCAACCTGGTATGATTCTACAACAAGTTGATTCTATGCTCAATTTGCACAGATAATTGTTGTACAATCTCTTGGCTACATATGGCCCACCCAAAATCTTGATGTGGCCCTCTAACGATTGCTACTCAATGGTATTTTTTAATGTGACAGAAGAGAATTTAATACATAGGAAGCAATTATGTGAACAAAATAGCAATTAATTTAATGTCGGCACAGCACCATCAAAGGTAGATGAAATCACATTCAGTTGTTGTCCTTGCTTCTTTATTCCTGGCTGTCTACAAAGCACAATGAAGCCCCCAGTTCTGCATTCTTGAAGACATAATCCAAATGATCTCTTCCCTTGGCAGCTATCTTACTCAGAAGAGGCCTGCAACTTCCATGAGATGGTTCTTCGAGATGGCTATAACATGTACTATTCAGAGGCCTACAACCTTCCCGTCAGCCTCAGCATGATAGGGAATTTGGGACAGAACCGTCAGCTGCCCCCTTTCTCCCAGTTCTTACCTTTAGATAACGAGTTCCCTCTTGAACCCATGAGCATGGACTACGAATCCTTTGAACAGGAACGTAACATTGAGTCGGCTGATCCCTTCAACATGATGGGTCAAAACCAGGGCTTACGGAGCCCAAGTTATGCCTTCCGATAGAGCAGGACCATGTATGGGCTGGGGCTGGGCACAATGTCAGATGTTCAGCAGGATTTTTCCTGAGCTTGGCCATCTGTGTCTTTATTGCATTAATATGAAGAATAAATATGAGGAAGACAGATGAGGGCAAAGGAACAGGAAGATGTAATAGACTGGGGGTTGGAGTAAAAGACCTCCAAGGTCCCTTCCAAACCTATGATTTTATGATTCTAGATGGTTGCAATTGACTGAAGCCTATCTGGGACTCCCGAATCCCAAAGCAGACACAGAATTCCTGTTCTGTCTGATTAGGAATCATTTCAACTTTTCAATTTCCCTTTGTTAATCTTGCTGGCTTTTTTGTAATATCCAAGGTTTTATTTCTATTTATCCAACTATTTAAGTAACTTATTTATTATATGTCAGGTTTATTTATTGAAGAAAGCTAGATCGATAAGGGAAGGTATAATACAGAAAGGGAAGGCATAACGTGAAAATCTTTTGCGCGCAAATCATATTTATATATTGTTATTTATATACAACTGTCTATGTATGTATATTTTCTGCCTGCATATTTATTTCCCTTTCTGGAGAGGACATGACAACTGAAGTTTAAATCTGTACTGCAGATATCGTCATGATTTTATGCCTGATATCTGTTTACCTACCCCTTCTGTATTTTCCTTTCCAAGGAATGTTTCTGCAGAAATGAATCTGTGAGCCATGGCAATGGAAGGTATTGGGGCTGCAACCAAAGGGGGGGGGGGGCTGGGGCTGCAACCAAAGCCCCGCCCCACCCTGCATGTAAAAAAGAGGCAGGCCTTCAATCACACTGCCATCTTGACTTTTTTGACCCCCACAGACACCCCCGGAGTGAGGTTTATGAATCAGAAGAGACTGGGTGGTTGCCAAAAAACCCCTTTTGAGCATCACCCCATTTTTGGCCTTCTTTTTTTTTTTTTAAGGCTTGCACTGTGCCTGTAAGCCATCAGAAAAGGTAAACTAGAGAACTCTAATTAGGAAATATAAAGTAAAAGTCACCCATATTGATCATGTATATATTTTTATTTATAAGCTATACTTCAGCATTTTCATTAAAAGGCTGAGCCGCTGCTGTGTTTTTCAGCAGCAGCTGTTTCTGGTCAAACGTGTTACAGTATTGACAATTCATTGACTTGACATAAATTTGCAAATGTCTGTATTCTCTTTCTGTTTCTTGTATTTTTTAAAAAATACCTGGTTTCCTTGTGCTTTAATAGTGACCAGTGTTAAATCATCAGTGGGCTGAAGTGTGAACGATGTGTTTTCAATGTGAATACAAATAAAAGTTTTTAAAAAAAGAAATAATTGATGGCAAATAAACTCGGTCTCAGAAATGTTTTCATTGGGCATCAAAAGCTAATGAGAAAAAACAATTGGGGGCGTTGGCAGGGAGGGCAAAAAAGTCAGGCATCCACGATGGTGCGACAGAAGCCCCACCCCTTTTTGCATGTCAGATGTGTTCAAAAGGGGTGGGGCTTCCATCGTGCCATCACCATCTTGACTTTTCTTACCCCCTCCCTCCCTGTGGACACCCCTCCCAGGCAGGGTTCCTACTATTTGGGGGTTACCCACAAGTCATTAATCAGAATTGAATTCCAGCAATTCGATATTCCTTTCAATGACTTTGGGGCAAGATATGACACCTGTCTAATGTCAGAAGACCATCATTTCACTGCACAGTTTGATCCTCCTCCAACTCATTGTAGCCTCAGAACTTGTATGTCAGGTGTGAGCTAGAGGAATGTTGACTATAGATTGTGGGTGCTTTCACAAAATGGCTTCCTCCCAGCCCCCCCTCATTCCCAGCTCACTTCAATCTTTTATTTATTTATTTATTTATTTGCTGGATTTTCTATCCCACTGTTCCTTCAGAAGCTCAAGATGGCATATATAGTGCTCCCTCCTCTCCTTTTCCCTCACAACAACAACCTTGGGAGGTAGGTTGGGCTGAAAGAGAATGACTGGCTCAAAGTCATCCATTGAGGGCTGAGGGTGGACTTCAACCTGAGTCTTCCTGCTCCTAATCCAGTGTCTAACCCTGGTTCTGTCTTGGGGGGCACCTTTCCAAACCAAGATTGAGCTTAGAGTAACCACCATTTGTACTGTCCATGGGGGGGGGCAAGCAGTATTTTTGTAGATAAAAATGAGGCTGGAAGCTGGTGCAGTATGTTGCAAAATACTAGTTTTTAATTTACCTTAATTCAAACAATCCCAAAACCCGGGTGGTACAGGAAGCTGGCACGTGCCAAGGGAAGTGCCCTGGAGCCACGTTAGACAAAAAGTCGCCTATTGCTGTTACAAAGGGATCAAGGGTTCAGATGAGTTCATTGCTGGTTATCCCAGGATAAACTGGCTGGAATTTCCAAGCTGGCTTTGAAAGTGATCAGAATCGGGAAGCAAAAAGCAGGCGTGAACCGCCCTAATTTTTGCACTGAGGGGGAAAGTGCACTCGAGATGAACTGTGGTGGCCTTGCATTTGCCAATAAAATGTGCAACTTTCTGACGGACAATGAACATCCTTACTGGAATACTGTGCAAAATGTTGTTGTTTCTAAAACACCCCTTAGTGTAACTACTGTAGCTACAAAAGCTAATTGGATTGCAAAGCTTTTTTTTTTCTTCCTTCCGTGGCATCAGAAATCTCAGGGCTTCCACGTAAGGGTGAACTAAGCATGCATCCAGACAGGGGCATCTTCAGGGGATGGTCAAAAAGTCAAGATGGCGGTTGTGACTGTGCATAAAAAAGGGGTGGGCTGCAATTGCACGGCTGCAGCCCCCATCGTGGCCTTCTTGACCCCTCCTGTGGATGCCCTGCCTGCAAAGGAGGCTCTGACAGTCCTCCAGCCATCTGCTGGATCAAGAGAAAGTTCTACCATCTCAAGGCATATCTGAATCTGCAACGAAGAGAGCTCTTTGATTGCAGTTTCTCTTCATCCATATACCAGCTGTAAAAGGCACCCCTTAAAAAAGGACAAGGGGGTATGTATGCATGTGCTAAGCCAATCGTTTGTATCAGGAGGCTCGCTATACACTCACTGACCTGTAACAATCCAGTTGACCAGAAGGTTGCAGCAAGGAGATCCCCAAAGCTTCAACTCCTGGCAGCCATCTGGTGGCCACCGTTGCAGTCTAGATATGATCATCCCACTATTAGAGGCACGCAGGCTTCAAAAATGATTTGGAAATGTTGTTGCTGAGGTGAGCGCTGCATCTCTCTGCTCTTCATTAAAATAGCTCTACTGTGCGGCCCAACACGTTTCAGATTTCAGCAGGAATTTTAAAAAATAAAGGCGCTCCTGCTTTAAGGAATCTATACTTAATGCAACTTTCAAAGCAGCAGCTACTTTATTTTTCCCGTTTGTGGGAAAGCCTGAAAAAAATTGGGCTGCTCTAATGAGTAACAGAGAAGCAAATTCAAGGTCCAAAGCGTATCTTCTGCAGCATTTCTAAAGCCCACTCAGCCTTGCTGGCCCCCAGCCCACTCCTTCCACTATCCATACAAACACACATACTTCAAATTTTAAATGTATCATTCTTATGGTGGTGGTCAGAGCTAGGATGCTCCCCAAAGCAAGAGAAAGGAAAGTTGTAGGATGCAGAACAAAACTCCAAGGCACACTTTTTGTCCCAACACTGAACGCATTCAAAGGATGAGGATTCGGCAGGGATCTATAGCAACTACAGATCAGAGACCACACAGGAAACCCCATCTGAAAAAAGGAAAAAGAAAAAAGAAAAAAAAGAAGACAGGAGAAAGTTCAGAAAATCATTCTGAACACCCATGCCCTGGTTTGCAAGCGTCTGCAACCTCTCATCACCCACCGAAAAACACTTTTCTAAATCTGCTGTCCTCCAGATTTAGGACTATGATGCCAAATGGGACTAATGCAGCAAAAGGAGATGGGAAATATAAGCACTGTCGGACTATTGCGGGAAAATTGGATGGGAATTTTAAGCGTCATAGCCAACCTATGTGGTGGACTCTGAATTTTGGAAGGCTAGCCTAGAACAGCCTAGAACATGGTCACTCACACCTTGGTCACTTCCTGGTTGGACTACTGCAATGTGCTTTACATGGGGCTGCCCTTGAAGACCACTCGGAAGTTAACTGGTCCAGACTGTGGCAGCTCGCACAATATTGGGCGCCCCTCAGTTTGCCTATGTTGCACCATTGTTGCAGAGCTTGCATGGTTCCCAGTTTCTTTCTGGGTGCAATTCAAGGTGCTAGTTATCACCTTTAAAGCCCTACAAGGCAGGTTATTGGTGGACCACCTCTTCCTTTAGGGTATCTGCTGGTTCCACTAGACTGGACAGAGTGGGCCTGCTCCAGGTCCCTTCCCTCAAATGTTGCCACCTAGCGGGACCTAGGAAGTGTGCCGTTTCCATAGCAGCCCCTGCCCTGTAGAACACCCTTCCCCTTGAGATCTGGCAGCCCCCCCCCCCCCTTTCAACCTTGTGGAAAGCTATGAAGAGCTGACTTTTGTCCCAGGTAAGGTAGTAAGGTTGGAACCGGGAGATTGTAGAAATGAATGGGCATCGTTGATGGATAGGGAGCCTGGTTTTTCTTGATTTTTTTTTTGGTTGCGTTGTTTTTATTGCTTTTGAGTTGTGTACGACAAGATGAGTGGCCATATAAATCTTTTAAACAAATGAACACTTAGGAGGGAGTAGGCCTCCACTGGCATCTTTTTCCAGATGCAATCCCTGAAGAGCGCTGCTACTCTTGGATTTGACCACCCACCGCATCCACCCCTTCACACAAATGTGCAAACAGCCCCTCTATGTCAATGCATACATCCCTGAAGGAATTTCTCTCACCTGATGCCTCAGGCTTGCCCGGCGACAGAGGTCTCAAATTTTTTCTTGCGCCCTTCCATGCCACTCAGAGCATCGATATTCTTCCGCCAGTCACCTACCTCCCGATTCTCCTGGGGGGAGACCAAGGGTCAAGAAATCAGTGGAGCCCCAGGCTTTGTGAGAAGTGTGACCCGTGTCATGTTAGCTCATTTATTTTTTATTTATTTGAGCTCAAAGCAGCTTACATAACTCTCCTACCTCATATTCTTCCCCACAACAACAACCCTGTATGATAGGTTGAGACAGTGACTGGTCCATAGTCCCCCAGAGAGGCTATGGCGGAGGATGGACTAGAACCTGGATCTCCCTGTTCCTAGTCCAGCACCTTGACTGCTGGGCCACAGAACCCCGGTTTCCCTTTTGCTATTCCAAAAGGCCCTCAAGACCTGGTTATGTGATCAGGCCTGGGGCTCCCAGGAAACCGGAGACCTGCTTCGATGGCTCCATTGTTGAGGGGGTCCTTTTTATTCTCCCTTCCCCTATGGTTTCTATTTTTGGTTTTTTATGGTATTTATTAATGTGTTTTAAAATATTTTTTAATATTTTTTCTGTTGTTTTTATATTTGTCTTTTTATTTGAGTCACTTTGGTGAGAAGGACAGCTATATAAATTTGATAAATCAATCAATCAATCAATCAATCAATTTCTATCGCTGCTAAGGAGGGATCTTGCTGTTGAGAAATTTATCCTTCCCCTGGAGAAACCATCTATCCAATTTCTCTACCCATAAATTTGGAAACATCACTTGTGCCCAGTGATGTATTTAGATTTTCCTGAATTTTGCAACATTCACTTCTCTGGATAATTCCTGGAATCCCTGTTGTTATGAGAGAGGGTTAAAAAAAAAATTCTACATTCTCTAAGCTGCAATCTTGGTTGGATAACTAATCAGGCTGAGGAAAGGAGAGGTGCTGCTACACGCATTCTTGGATGGCAGAGGTTTCTTAAAATTCAGAATCAGCCCAGCTATTTCCCTTTCCCCAGGTAGACTGTATACATGTCCCTGTATATCCTTGCAAGCAGGGTCCTGGAAAAAAAGCTTTGCAAGGGTGTCTGCCAGGAAGGGATCAAAAAAGTCAAGATGGTGGTCCCGATGCATATAAAAAAAGGGGTTGATTGCATTGTGGCTGCCATCTTGACTTTTTTGACCCCCTCCCTGTGGACACTCCTGCAGCTATGGAAGTAGCACTGAACTTTTTATGAAAACCAGGAATTGGATAAAGAGCTCACTGGACATCTAAAGCTACTTTTGTCCTCCAAAGTGCACTTTAAGATTGCTATCTATGGGTAAAAAAATTAAAAAGTTACTGCAGGCTTCTTTCATGTTATGCCTAGATTTTTACAGGATCAGATCATTTGTCCATCTAGCCTCATATCACTCTGATTGGAAGCAGCTCCCCAGTGACGTGGGCAGACATCTGATGGTAACATGTAGCCCAAGATGCCAAGGACTGAATCTGGGGCTTCTGTGTACAACATCACTGATGGGAAGTCGTCGTATGCCTGGAAGTTACTCATCACCACCGAGTGATCAGTCAGGCTGTGGGTAAATAACCAAGCAAGCAAGCCTGCAAAGTTCTGGCAGTTTGGTCATCTCAGAACTTCAGCCACTCCACAACGATTCTCGACCAGGGATGGGCAAACTTTGGAGGCCACAAGGGGCTGTAGCACCCCATTTATGACGGTCTGCAGAGCCTCCACAGAAGAAGTTTAAGGGCATTGAAGGACAAAATATATTCATCCTTTAAACTCTCCAAATGGACCAACTCTGATCTTTTGGGGGTGAGTCTAAGAGTTGAAATGACTCTTCGTCCATTAACCCTCCCTCAACCCAACCTCAAAATGCAAAAAAATGAGCCAAAATTTCAGCCATGCCCCCTCTGGGATCATCAGGCCACCGTGTTGTCCCTCAAAGTCTAAGCATAGCCTCAAGCTAAAAAAGGTTGCCCGCTCTTTTCCTAAACTGAGGAGCTGGATGACCCTGTGGCCACCATCTGTCCCCTCCCTCCCTCTTGCTGCTGCCTGCTGATCCTTCCAGCCTCACCTTCTCTGTGTCATCCTTCTTGACCTGTTTGAGGTTGGCCCGCAGATCCATGGAGACCTTGTGCTTAGACCCAAGCAAGGCCTGCATCATGGCATCAGCTGAGAGACGCACCCGGCGAAGAGCAGGGCGCTTAAATTTGCCTCGCAGGTCAAAAATCTTCTGGTTCAAATCCTCGATCTGGAGCCAGAATGGACAGCCTGTTAACATTTGAAACCGAGCAGCAGGAGATACCGAGGGAAGCAGCCTGGCACCAAATTCAGTTCACAACTTTCCCCAACTGGATGCTCTCCAGATGTACGGACAACAATAATACCCAGAGTGACGGTGACTGGGAATTCTGGGAACTGTGGTTTCAACATATTTGAAAGGTAATCAGCTGGGGAAAGCCAGATTATAGGAAGAAAACTTCAGTTAATAGTGGAATGTTGCAGTCCTTCCAGGTTTCCTCAAACTTTCTCACGAACGGTCTTAAATAAAGGACATTCTGAAACTATAAATCAATGTTTCTCATCAGCAACTTTTAGGTGTGGAGTTCAACTCTCAGAATTCCCCATCCAGCATGTTGGGGAATTGTGGGAGTTGAAGTCCACACATCTTAAAGTTGCCAAGTCTGAAAAACACTGCCCTAACAAGATCTTTGGCCTGCTGGGTCCTCATGATGTTGCCTTCATCTCATCCCCAACCCATTAGTGAATCCAGCTTAAATTTCCTTGGCTGTGTACGTCTTCAAGTAATATTTTTCTTTATTCTGATATTGTCCCAAGGCATCCTCAAGATGGGGAAAATTTACTGGTTTTGTCACCCATTATCTTGGAGGGATGTCAGATGACTTGCAGGGCCTGGAAACAGGAGCAACAGAGGAAACAGGAGCAACATGACAAAGTTCAGGAAAGGGGATAGCAAATTTCATACCATCTGTTCAAGGATGGGTAGATAACACTATTACTTGGTAGTGGGGAAAGGTCGATAGCAGTACAGTGAATGACAAGGTTGTCTTACTTGTGAGCTGGAGATGAGATAAAGGGAACATCATGGGAACAAGGAAGGAAATAAATGTTCCATCACTTTCTGAGTTGTGATTCTGAAAATGGGCTGGTATGGAAAAGCATGATGAAATTGGATTACAACTCACAACATCCAATATGTCTGGAGGGCAACAAATTAGGGAAGGAATTGCTAAAGCAATGGGCTGAACGCAAGACTGAATGCCAAACACAGAACAGCAGATCACCCCTTTCCCACTCCTCTTTAAAAGACAATACCCTTCACGTAGGGACTAGGGTAGACCTGAAATTAGCCAACCAATTCTGCTCTCCGTCTGCTCTTATCGAAGATGCTATGGTTAAAACTGATCCAGCACTGCTACCTAGTGGCTCTTCTTAGTATCCCATGACTATAAAGTCGAAATAATTATTCATTTAAAAAGTTATTTTATCCCATCTATCATTTAGACTTTTCCAGTCAGGATACTGAGTGTGTATCAATACATTGCATGTTGCTCTGAGTTGTGGGATGTGGGCAACAGTATTTTGGTTTGCAAGACAGTCTATAGCAGTGTATCTCAACCTCAGTGAGTTTAAGACGTGTGGACTTCAACTCCCAGAATTCCCCAGCCAGCATGCTGGCTGGGGAAT